GGATGATCTGAGTAAGAGAATATACCTATTTTAGTTCCGGAAAGGCCTATTCCGGTGTATCAATAAGTTAGCATTCTGCTTTTCTACTGAACTCTTTCTTGAATTTGTTCAGTATTTATCGAAGTCTTGTGGAGCTTTAAACAGCTCTGAGTTAACAAAATAAGATAATAAGATTCTGGTGCTGAAAACCCGAGTATGTGACCCTGATCATCGGTGACCTAAGTGTGTGTGTGTCACTGCCCCCACTCCAGAAATCAACCAGTAGGCCTTCTTTTTGTAAATGCAGCGGCAACAATTTGTGGGTGAATGAAGCCATGGGCTCAGCTTTGAAATTCAAAACTCTCTTATCTCATCCTTTGATTTTTTTTTTTGTCCCCAGACTTCTTTTTTCCATGTCCTTGCCCCTCCTGACACTTCCGTTTCTCTAGCAACTAAGTGCTTTTGGGGTATCCATTGTTTTCCCACGTTGTCTTTACTTTCCTTCTTCTTCACCTTCCTCCTCTTTTATGTCTTTTATTACTTTTTAGTCTTCTAATTTGGAAACTCACCTGCCTCCTCACTGATCTTATAAAGATCGTATATGTTATAGGTTCACTAGTACTGAAACGTCCCTTTAGAGCAGGGCTGACCAATATAGTAGTCACTAGCAACATATGACTATTGAACACGTGAACTGGGCGGGTCTGAAATGAGATGTTCTTGAGGCACCTGGCTGGCTCAGTCGGAGTACGCGACTCTTGATCTCAGGCTTGTGAGTTTGAGCCCCACAGTGGGTGTAGAGATTACTAAAAATAAATAAATGAAATGAGATGTGCCTTAAGTGTAAAATGCACACCAGATTTCTAAGACTTATCATAAAGAATGCAAAGTGTCTCATTAACACATTAAAAAATGATCACATTTGGAAATGACAATATTTTGGCTATATTGGGTTAAAAGAAATGTATTATTAAAATTACCTTCATCTGTTTCTTTTTACTTTTTTAATGTGACTACTAAAAAATGTAAAAGTATATATTTGACTGGCAATATAATTCTGTTGTCAGTGCTGCTTTAGGGAGTCTTAATGTCTGTATTCTCTACATCTCTACAGGTGGCCTAAAGACTATATTAAAAATCCCATTTGGTTGGAATGTCCCAAAATGAATCCTCCATTTCTCTCTTCTCTATGGTGACCCACCTTCTCAACTCATTCTCATTTTTCCTTTTCTTTAAGAGCCTAAGAGAAGGGGACATTTTTCTTTTTTGAGTCAGAAGTAGACACACCACAAGTGCATTTAAAGGTAATGGGGATATTAGAAAAACCGAAAGTAAAAAAAAAAAAAAAAGAAAAAAGAAAAACCGAAAGTAAGCAAGACTGCCTATAGACAATCTGTTAACAAAACACAGTAATATATACACCTGGACAAGCATCAGCCCCACGGGGAAACCCAGCAACTTTAATTACTTCACCTACAGGCACTATACTGAGAATTGTTTCTTTCCACTTGGGTGGAAGCATGCTCTATACCAGAGTGAGCTGTCAGGAGTTTTGCTTCTCTTATCCCAGACCTGCCTTCTGAGGCTCACTTTTCTAAGTGTTATGTAAATGATAATTAATATGTGGAGCACACTGACAATAATGAGCGTAGGTTGGAGAGTCAGAGGGATCTAGGTTTGATCCTGGCATTGCCACTTGCTAACTCAATGGCCTTATGCCAGTTACTTCACCTCTGGAGCCTCACCTGCTAATCTGTAAAACAGGGATAATAGGACCATGGCTTCTGGTGGGTCAACAGCCTACCTCTGCTCCTAGCCATTTTCCACTCTTGTTCTTTGGAAACTTGCTCTGAAAGAGGATTGTGTCTCCGCCTATTGCCAGACACAAATTTTATTCCTCACCTCAAACCTTGTGAGAAGAGCTTTAGAGGGACTATTGGCCTCGGCATTTGACATTTGTCCACTGCAATTTGCATGAACTTGAGGAACTGGTCTGTGACCCAGACTGGAGAACATTCAAGGTGAAGAACTGTGTGGCTTGCAGAATGTGTCCATGGTGGGCAAGGAGAGAAAGCTGGTGAGAAAATGCCTGCACTAGAATATGCGCAGGCAAAGACATCTGTGTATTTCTTGCAGACCAAATGTAGAGAAGGAAAGCCAGCCATAAGCCGTCTTAAAGGGACTTTGCCCAGGACTACAAAAGCAGTCCCAGCTATGAGTGACTCCTTGCAGAATTCTGAAAACTGGGGCTTGCAGAGGGAACATTAGCAGCTAAGGAGATTCCTGATGCTGAGGGATCTTTGAGGAGCCCTTGGACGTGACGTAGGAAAAACGGTCAGCTTTTAAACACTTGTCAACCCACAAAAGCAGCCCTAGAGGTTGAGCTTCATACTTAGAGGATAAAGTCCTATATGCTTAAAATGGTTTGTAATTACTCCTTCTCTGGCCACATTTCAATCCTTTTCCTTCACCAGGTCTCCTAACCTTCCTCAGGTGCCAGAAACTCACTTCTGGCTAGGCTGAGGTCTAGGCTGGGACCTGTCTAGGGAGCATCTGGTTTTCTGAGTAACTCTGGTTCTGTGCGAACTGTTCCCAGGCCCTGGGGGTCATTAGCCAGGTAAAGTTAAGATGCCCCTTATAGGAACCGTAGCAAATGAGACTCACATTATTCAACAAGAATTTGTGCCTATCTGTTGTATTAACCAGCACTGAGATGGGAAATTCAAGCACAGTGTAGATCATGGTGGCTTCAATGTTAACTGGCCTTAGTCAGCTTAAAGACTAACTCGAATAGAAGGCAAGAGGCTAGGGTCGGTATGGGAGAACAAGATTATTGTGTGACATATCTGAATGCATGGCAACAAATGATGAGCTGTTAAGAAAATGAGAATTAAGTGCAGTGAAAGAACTGAAGGATTATCTTGTGCCTCAAGAGTTTGGGGTGAGCTTCATACAGGAGTCTGGACTCTCAGGACTGTCCCCAGGTCGCTATTGGAAAATTAAGGCCTGGGAATTCCACGCTTGGAAATAGGATTGAGAGCTAACTGGGATGAGGGATTAAGGAGGAAAAGGCTAGATTGGTAGCTGGGGCTGGAGCATGAAGAACACAAGTGCCAAGATGATGGAGCCAAATGCCTATGGGAAGTCCATGGAGTGAAAGAATGATTTTTGACTTAGTGTCTCAGTGCATAAAAACTTTTTTCCCCTCCCATGTTGAGAGAGCCAAAGAATCCATGCCAGACTGTCTCAAGACAAGGGAGTTAGGAAGGGAGACCAGGGGCTCTTTTCCCTAAACACTAGGGACACAGTACTAATATTTTGATTTTCAAATAAAATCTTTATGGTATACAATTTTGAGAGCTTCAAAACTTTTTCCTCTGTGGAGGCCAGTTAGAGACTCTTGCCTAGGTATTCCTAAGGAGGAATTGAGGTTACATCTCCTATCAGACTGGAATGTCAGTGCAAGGTATCCCCAAAGTATACCCAGTGATCTGTGGACCCACATACCTACCCACCCAACCACTGAGTGCCCACCCTGTAGTGTTGCAGGCTGTGTACCTAAGTTGCAACAATGAATAACAGTGTCCTCTCTAGTACATGTCAATGTGTTGGGGTGGGGAAGATGAAAGAATAGCAAAACTTTGATAATTGCCATAGCTGGGAGATGAGTATTTGGAAGTTCATTATACCATTTCTCCTGCTTTTTGTTATCATTGATAATTTTCCTCATAAAGTTAGATAACTGTCCTTTTTCTCAAGAGAGAAAGTTAGATTTGACAGATGACTTTATGACAAGGGCAAGTTCAGCGTTCAAGTTAGACCCAGGGTATTAGGAAGAAAAACCCTTGGGGCAGGGTGCAGAAAGTGGTCAGGAAATGCCTCCTGGTGGAGGGTAAACTGTTCTTTAAAAGTACCTGCTTACATTGAGTAAAGAAACCAAAAACTACAGGTCTGACTTGGCCTTAGGTTGTTTTGAGAAGGGCTAACAGATCAGGGTCAAGAGTGAGAAACTGGCTTCTACCACATTCCATCCTCTTATCTACCTTTTTTTCTTCCTTCCCTTTTGCTTCAAGTCAGCTGAGGTAAGTAGATATTTAGATTTTGGGCAACATCTGAGCACCTACTATATGTCGGGCGCTGTACATAGGCTTTTGGGTTAGATTCTGATTGTACCATTTTATAGAAGGTGGAACCGGGAGTCCGGAAATTCCTCAAGGTGTGGGGAACATGACACAAGCAGGTAAGGGCAGTTGGGGAACCCAGTCCTTCCAACCCCAAATCGTGGAAAATAGGTCCAAAACTTGGGATCAGGCAGAGGTAGCTTCGTGGCTTTAAACAGTCACCGGGCCTCACTGAGCTGACTCAATTTCTCCGTCTATAAAAAGGGTACGGTAAAACCGTGTAAGGTTTATTTATTTATTTTTTAAGGATCGGAGACCTTTAAACTGTCAAGATCCTGGCACGAAGGGAGGGCTCCGTAAATGGCAGCCATCATTCTTGGACAAGTGCCGGCACATCCTCCCGGGCGCGCCTCCCGCCGGGTCCCTCGGGACAGGCCAGGCCCGCCCCCCGCGGCTCCGATCTCTCAGTGCTCGCGGCAGGTGGCCCAGCATCTCGGTGCCCACGCCCCGAAGCGAGCGGGGAGCACGGGTGGGTTGGCTGACCAAGGTCTCCCCCGGAGGATCGCCTCCCTCCCTCCACACGCCCGGCGCAGGTGAGGTTTCCGGCCCAGGCCACGGGGACAGCGACCTCGAGGAGAGATCGAAGCGGACAGTGCGGCCCGCGGCCGGGAGTGGGGTCCTGCGGGCGCCCCCTCCCTAGCCCAGTTTCACCCCAGGACCAACCCCGGCGCCGGGGCCCGCGGGCTGCGCGCTCTGCGGCTGCAAAAACCCGGAGAGGCGGATCGGAGCGCGCTCGCAGCCAACTCCTCCGCGGTCCGGCCGCCGAGCTGGGCATGCTCAGTGCGGCCGCCGCGCCGCCGTCCGCCAACTCGGAAGCTCGCGCTCCCGGGCCGTGGGGGCGAGAACGCCGGCGGCGGCGAGCCGGCGTTGCCCGCCGCCCCCAGACAGTGGCAAACTTCGCGGTGTCCCCGGAGCTCGCCTGGAGACTGATACCTCACAAATAAAATCCAGTCCAATCCCCCCCATCCCAGCCCGAATCATGGAGGCTGTGGCCGCCCGAGTGCCGCCGCCGCCGCCGGCCCCTGCCCACTAGCCGGGGACCAACAGGTAAACTGTTAGGGGGGTGGGGGTGGGAGGAGGAGCTGCGGCCGGGGGGAGGTGGCGGGCTGGAGTCCGAGACGTCCGCGGGCCGACTGCCCCCGTCGGCGCTCACAGCCAGCCCTCCTCCCCCTTTTCCCCCAGCCTCTGGAGGGGCAGTAAAGGGTTAAATCGGCCCCGCGACACCGTGAGCACGGCCCCCTCCAGCCGCTGCGACCGCCAGCAGCGCGCCTCGGCGCCTGCCCGGAGCCGCCGAGGGGGACCGGAGCCGCTGATGCGCCACCGGAGCCCGGCCGGTGTCTAGGAGGCACCGGCCGCTTCTCCCCGTCCGCATCCCTGCCGCCCCCCCCCCCCCCCCCCCCGCCAGGCCTCTCTCCCTCAGCCCCGGCCGGGTCCGCGCCCAGGTGGCGGGGTCTGCTGGGCGCGTGGCGGCGCGGGAAGGATCCCTGCGGTGGAAGAGGGGCGGGGGCGGGCTTCTCCGCAGTCTCTTCCCCAGGCTGGAGGGCCACCCTCACCTTGGGTGAGCACTTGAGCCACCCGCCTAGGCGCCAAGAAAAGTTTTTTTTTTCCCCCTCCCGTGCCCCTCCCCCACCCCCTGTCCGGCTGGGGTGGGTTTGGGTCCATTGGTGAAAAAAGTCACACGTTCCCATCAGCTGCTCCTCCCCCTGGGGACAGGGTTGGGGGGGGGGGGACGGGAGGCTGGCGCCGCGAGAGACCCAGGCGGACCTCCAGCTCCTCCGCCGCCGCCACCCGAGCGGTGCGTCCCGGGGCTGAAGCGCAGTCGGGTGCCCGGCGAAGACTGCCCCCATCAGTGCGTGTCTGCGTGCCGGGCAGCGGCTGCATCCAACCTGCTTTATTCCTGCCTGCAGCGCCACAGTGAGCGAGCGAGGAGGGGGAGAGAGGGAGTCTGTCTGCAAAGTGCTGCTCCCTGGTGCTCAGAGGCGGCTGCTCCAGCTCCAACTCTCATTCATTTCGCCGGTTAACATGAGAGATCATGGCCGCCTTCGGGCTTCTCAGCTATGAGCAGAGACCGCTGAAACGCCCCCGGCTCGGGCCGCCCGACGTCTACCCGCAGGACCCCAAGCAGAAGGAGGTAAGGGCGCCGGCGGCCTCCCCCGCAGCTGGGGCCGCGCTCCGCAGCGCGGACCCGGGGCCAAGTTGGCCCAGTGGGCATCGCCGGCGCTGCGGGGAGAGGGCTCGGGAGGGGGCCAGGCGGCGGTGACCGGGCTGGGGGGCTAGGGGACCCCCGGCGGCGGAGACCCAGCGGCTGTCAGTCTCTGCGCTCCACTGGGGTGCTCGCTGTCCGGGTGCCGGGTCGCTTCCCCGTTACCGGGCCTTGCACGGCGCCGCCGGCTGCTTCACCGGGTGCCTCTTTGCAAAAACCCTCTTGCTTGCTCTCCCCCGCTTCTGCCTGCTTTATTTTCTCCCCGCTGCTTCGGTAAATCCTCGTAAACTTTTTGAAAAATGTTGGAATGCAGTGCATCTGACACAGGTCTTACGTTTTGCGCCAGCTGAGCAGGGACGGGGGGGTGGGGTGAGGGGGAGACCTTTTCTGTTAAAATTTTCCAGTTTGGAGTGGAAGTCGTTTTTATCGAGGTGATAAATATTTAGCTCTTTGAACGTACTTATTTCTGTATCCCCTTTTCCCTTTAAAAAAAATCAGTATTAAGGGGAGCCTGATTTTCGTCCCTAGAGGCGATTGGTTTAATTGCTGGAGGCTGTTTTGTATATGTAAAAGCAGACGGGTTACCTTGGAAGGGAAATAAGTCCCCAGATTGCTTATTTCTTTGAATGAAATTGGAGAAAGGTTGACTCTTGCCTTAGGTACACTAGCTTCAATGTCTAGAGGAACCATGGCATTTTATAGCGATTTATGTGTTTGTCAGTAGTTAAGTAATTATGTAACAACTCTCCAGTTATAATGATCACCCTTGGCTACACAATTTGCCCAGGGATTTGCCTCTTTTTTTTTTTTAAGATCACCTGCTACCCAGCTGTGCTTTCTGAGTTTGCCAGCTGCAGCCCACCCATCCTCTTGTTTTCTTCAGCAAAAAAACGAAGTGAGCACATTGCACAACTTCTTTCTGGGAATTTAAAAACTCTATTAAAAGTTTGGAGGCCCACTGACATCACAGAAAGGGCTTTGTAAAGAAGGCAGGAGGGGTCCTTAAGACTTCCCTTTTGATAAAGCTATCTATTTCAGTAATAGAGGAAGAATGCTTGTTTTGGTTAAACTTCTGTTGATGTTTTTAAAAATTAAGGAGTGGCAGTTCATTCCTTTTAGAGGCTTAAGCACATAAACATGTTTGAGCATCTGTGGAGTAATTCAGATTGAAGCGGGGAAGGTTTTACAGGTGGTTCTCAGTTGAGGCCTAACACGAGGAGGGATTGATGAGATCTTGCAGATTTCTTCCCCACCTATTTCTCTCTGGGCTATTTCCACCCAGATTAAAGTTAGTTGTTAAGGACTAGAAATAACAGACACTAATGACCCACTGTAACAAAATTAGTAACTTAAAAATTAGTGTCAGGAAATTTTTAAAAGTTTTGGTGGGGACAAGGATACTGATTGGCTCATCTTTCTCATCTTTTAATGTCTTGCCACATTTTCCAGAGGGAAGTGTAATTAGTAGCATCTCCCTAGTTTTGGGATGGTCCTCTGGGTTGCCATGTGGGCTTATTTAGCATTTATTCCTCAGGTCACTCATTCAGGATTGGGGCCCCTCTGATTGGAAAAAATAATTTTGGATTTTAGGATTTTGCAACAGTTAACAGAATTCTAAAACTGGAAGTGACCTTACAGCCTATTTTACATAACTTCCTTTTGACAAAGGGAAACTGAGGCCCAAGAAAGCTTTACCTGACTTAATCGAAGTGTGTGATAAAGAAGCAGAGGATTTGGACCACCAAACCAGTATTTATGTCAAGACCAATACTATGTTAAGAAGGATTTATGCTAAATTGTGTTGTTCTGCTATTCCCTATCCCCTAAGGCAGCCAATATTTCATCCCTCGGGAGCAGAGTCAAAGTTATGTGTGACTGTAGCCAAATTTGAGTACAATATGGAACAGGTGCTTGGCTGTTCTTAGGTGGTGGTGTGGTGAGCAGTGTTTCACAAGCTTTGGTTATTTATGTTCTGCCTTAAGAGTTCTCCCCTCTCCCTGTATCACCTGTACTTCTATTCTAATGTTTTCTTTAACTTTTAAGAAACTTTGTTTCCTAGGCAGCAATACACGTGAAGTCATGGATTCACATATACATATGTAATGCAAAAGTTAGAATCCAATTGTGTGTATATATTAAATTTTTATCTAGCTGATATTACACGCACATAGGGCTAATACATAATAAAACCAGACTATAACTCTTAAAACTTTAAAAAGTTTATCTGTGCATTTAAAACCATTGTTGTGTTCCATCACAGATCTTTGTCCCACATTATGGGAAATGCTGATTTAATGGAGGAAGTATGGGCTTTGAAATTGGGCAGACCTGGATCTGGATTCTGGTTCAGCCTCTTTGCAGTTGTGTGGCCTTGGGCAAGTTGCACAACTTCTCATTTGTAAATTAGTATAATTGTTCTATTCAGAAAATTTTGAGAACCCTGGTTTGAAAACATTACATTTGTGTGAGAAAAACCCTCCTCCTGGTGGAAGCTATTCTTATTACTATAGCTGTGATTTTTATTATTGTTAGCCAGTGCTAGTAGCGTCCTGGAAAACAGCTCCTGGGAGATTGGCTGGAACCCTTGAATGAAGATTCCCCTATGGAGAAGGAGGGAAGGGTGGGGAGAGCTGGAAGCTTTAACCTGCTTGATTGATTGACTGTATTCTTTTTGAGAGCTTGCCTCTGCATCAGCACTCCACGGGATTTTTTTTTTTTTTTTAATATATTGTGTTATAATACTTTGTCTTCTGACTGTCCTTAAGCCTTGAAAACAATCAGAAAACTGAGAGTCACCCTTGATTTCCCCTTTTTCCTTGTACTCCATAATACATGTTTCAGGATATCTTGTCTGGTCCAGTTCGCACACAATTTCCAATCCGTCCACTGCTCCCCAGTTTCACTAATATGCTCGACTTCCTTTCTGCTTCAGGCTGACTTTTCTCTGCCGCTGGGCTTCTATACATGCTGATCTGTCTGCCTGGACACTTGTCTGCCTATCCATTTCACCCCACTTTTCTCACCTTAGCCTGTGGTGAGGAGGGTAGCTCTGGAGCCAGTCTGCCTGGGTTTGAAACTTCGCTCTCCTGTTTATATATTCTTATTCTCCCCATCCCTCAGTATCCCCTCTTGTAGTTCCGTCGGGCTATTAGAACAGTATATGAGTAATGCACAGAAAGCATTTAGACTGACTAGAGTCTGGCATGGATTCAACACCCGAATACTGTCAGGGCCTGTGGGCCTGTCTCTGCATCCTTCAGTTCTCAACCCAGTGACCTTCTCAGAGGTCTTTCTAGTATAACCATATAATTTGTAATTTTGTATTTATTTGCATGCTGCCATCCCCCACTAAAGGGTCAATTTTGTGAGGGCAGGGATGAGCACTGTTTTTAGGCATCGCTAAAGTACCTGCCACCTAGTGTAGTTAGTTCCTGGGATGCTGAGGGCATGAATACTTGTTGAAATGTATGAATGAAAGTGGGAATGAATGAATAAAAAGAGGAAATCTGGTGATTGAAGGGTGTTAGGGAAAGTCTAGGGTAGAAGAGGCCTAAACGGGTGAATAATAAATATTTTCAGGAAGTCAAATTAGTTAGAAAAATAGTTTGGGCCAATAGTGAGATTTCCAGCCATTGAGAGTCCCACCAGTAGAGGGGACGGATGGCTGGGTGTGCAGCACAGAGGCTGCCCAAGGACAAGTCCAGTTAACCTTGGGAGGGTAGTGGAAGGAGTGGGGGTGGGGGTTGGGGAAGGTGGGTGGGGTAGTCGTGGTTGTGTCTGCATGTGGATAACCCAGACAGGTGTTCTCAGACTTGACCTATATCACCTGTAGAGCTTGTTAAAAACAAATGGTTTTTCAGATTCAGTAGTTATGAGCCAGGGCCCCATAATTGGCATTTCTAACAAGATGCCTGGTGATCTGATGGCTGCTGGTCCAGGGCCCCACTTTAAGGACCCTGACCTAGAGAGAAGGCATCCATCCAGTTCTGTAGACGCTAGAGAGTTCTGCCTGATGTAGGTAGGGCAGGTCTAGGCATCTGTATATGGCTGAGTTTGCAGTAGTTTGGTTAGCAGCCAACTCAGCAGGGTGTGGTGGGCTTTTCCCAGAAGCTGTGCCCTCTCTTAACTCAGATCAAAGGGAATGAGCTAGGAAGTCTCAGCCCCCCTCTAATGGCTTTCTGTTACACTTGGAATAACAGATTCCTTACCTAGGCCTTCAAGGCCCTACCATCTGGCCCTTGTTCACGTCCACAACCACCACCTATAGCCAGACCACCTGGCTGCGAGTTCTGGCTTCATCATTTACTGCCTTTTTGACTCAGATCTCACTTGTGGAATGGGGTTCATATTTGTTCCTACCACATGGGGTTGCTGGAAAGATGAAATGAGATTTGAACTATGTCTGGCACACAGACAGTGCTCTGTTCAGGTAACTACTATTGGGATAACCCCTCCGTTAAAGGGTCCCAGGACTTCCCATTGTATTTATAATATCCATAAGACCTTGTATCTGAGATCTGGCCTCTGGGATTTGGGTGATCCCTTCCAGACTTGCTGCTCATTCCCTTTCGGGCTGTGCGGTAGGACCAGTGGCCACTTTTCTCTCTTTCCAGTAGGCTCAGCTCTTTATGTCTATGTTCCTGTCCCTGATTGCCCCTGTAGTCATGTTTCCTGTCATTTGGCTCTTAGAGACTCCCTCTCAAGAAAGCCTTCCTTGTAACCCATCTTTCCTTATCCTTGCTAGCTCATTATCTTGTGTTAATAGGTTTTGGCAGTGCTGGTCACTGAAATGGTTGCTGATTTTCTCCATGGTTTTCCACACTAGAATGTAAACTGCATGAGAACCGGGGCTTCTCTGTGGTGGTCACAGTTTTGAGCTGCCTAGTGCCGGGGATTAGACTAGGTGCTCAGTAAATAGTTCTTGCAGA